TTGTTGTTGTTGTTATTATTGTTGATACTGTTATTATTGTTATTTTTGTTATTATTGTTATAATTGCTATTATAGATATTATTGTTATTATTGTTATTATTGTTAATACTGTTATTATTGCTATTATTGTTATTATTGTTGTTATTTTTGATATTGATTTTATTGTTGTTATTGTTATTATTGTTGTTATTGTTAGTATTGTTATTATTGTTGTTATTGTTATTATTGTCATCATTGTTGCTATTGTTGTTATTGTTGTTATTGTTATTACTGCTATTATTGTTATTATTTTTATTATGGTTATTACTGATGTTGTTGTTATTGTTATTATTGTTGTTATTGTTATTATTGTTATTATTGTTATTATTGTTATTATTGTTGTTAATTTTGTTGTTGTTGTTATTATTGTTGATACTGTTATTATTGTTATTTTTGTTATTATTGTTATAATTGCTATTATAGATATTATTGTTATTATTGTTATTATTGTTAATACTGTTATTATTGCTATTATTGTTATTATTGTTGTTATTTTTGATATTGATTTTATTGTTGTTATTGTTATTATTGTTGTTATTGTTAGTATTGTTATTATTGTTGTTATTGTTATTATTGTCATCATTGTTGCTATTGTTGTTATTGTTGTTATTGTTATTACTGCTATTATTGTTATTATTTTTATTATGGTTATTACTGATGTTGTTGTTATTGTTATTATTGTTGTTATTGTTATTATTGTTATTATTGTTATTATTGTTATTATTGTTGTTATTGTTGTAATTGTTATTATTGTTATTATTGTTTTTATTGTTATTATTGTTATTACTTTTGTTATTGTTAATATTTCTGTTATTGTTATTATTGTTGTTGGTGTTTTTAATGATGATATTGTTCTTATTGTTATTATTGTTGTTATAGTTACTATTGTTGTCTTTGTTGATATTGTTATTATTGTTATTATTGTTATTATTGTTGTTATTATTATTATTGATATTACAGTTATTATCGTTATTACTGTAATTATTGGAATTATTGTTATTATTTTCATTGATGATATTATTGTCTTTATTGTTATTACTGTTATTATTGTTATTATTGCTATTATTATTATTTTTGTTATTATGGTTAATATTGTTGTTACTGTTTTTATTGTTGTTATTGTTATTATTGTTATTATAGTTATTATTATTATTATTACGGTTATTACTGTTGTTATTGTTGTTGTTGTTATTATTGTTGTCATTCTTATTACTGTTATAATTGTTATTATAGTTAATATTGTTATTAATGTTGTTATTCTAGTTATGGTTATTATTGTTGTTATTGTTTTTATTGTTATTATTGTTATTTTTGTTATTACTGTTATTATTGTTATTATTGTTATTATTGTTGTTATTGTTGTAATTTCAATTATTGATATTAATATTACTATTGTTATTATTTTTATTACTGTTGTTATTGTCAATATTGTTTTTGTTATTATTGTTGTTATTGTTATTACTGTTACTGTTGTTATTATTGTTGTTATTGTTGATATAGTTTTTATTGTAATTATTGTTGTCATTGTTCTTAATGTTATTATTGTTACAATTGTAGTTATTGTTGTTATTGTTATTATTGTTTTATTGTTATTATTGTTATTATTGTTGTTTTTGTTATTATTGCTATTATTGTTATTATTGTCATATTTATTGTTATTGTTTTTATTGTGGATATTGTTATTATTGTTATTATTGTTACTATTGTTGTTATTTCTGTTATTGTTATTATTGCTGTTATTTTCATTATTGTTATTATTGCTATTATTGTTGTTTTTGTTGTTATAGTCACTATTGTTATTAGTGTTATTATTGTGATTATTGTTCTTATTGTTGTTATTGTTACTATTGTTGTCTTTGTTGCTATTGTCTTTATTGATGTTATTGTTGTTATTGTTGTTATTGTTATTATTGTTATTATTGTTTTATTGTTATTATTGTTATTATTGTTGTTATTGTTATTATTATTGTTATTGTTATTATTGCTATTATTGTTATTATTGTTATTATTGTTAATATTGTTATTATTGTTGATATTGGTATTATTTTCGTTAACGTTATTATGGATATTATTGTTATTATTATTTTTATTGCTATTATTGTTATTATTGTTGTCATTGTTGTATTGTCATTATTGTTATTATTGTTCTTATTGTTGTTATTGTAATTATTGTTATTAATATTATTATTGTTATTATTGTTGTTATTGTCATTATCCTTGTAATTGTTATTATCGTTATTATTGTTATTATTATTGTTAATGTTGTTATTGTTATTATTATCATTATTGCTTTTATTTCTCTTAT